CAACTTACAAACCCCGCCGGGGAAGGTTCTGGGCTGGGTGGGGCTTTTTTTTGGTGTTTGGTGTTTTTTTTCAATGCTTTTTTAGTTAGAAGTTGAGGCATTTATGTGTTGGCTGCACCAGCCTTTAGCTGTAAGGGAATAAAGCTGGAAGCACACAACTCCTGGAGCAAGAAGAGCTTGGATTTTAATCCAGTCAGGAACACGACTGGGATCTCTGGATCTGTTTTAAACAGTAACAAGTATAAACTGAGTGGAAATAACCACATTTATAATGTGCATAGGGACATACAGAGTGCAAACACTCCAATTCTTGGATTCCTAATCTCAAATTCTAACGGAGGTGCAGGCCCAGAAATGTCAGCTGTGCAAACAGCTGTATAGAAAATATGAATTGCTTTTTTATTTTTCTGTCAGTTTGCTTGAAGCTGGTGGGAAGAGTCCATTGATTCCCAGGAATCCATTTACCACAGCGTGACAGCCACAGATAGAGATGATTTTAGCTGCTTGTAAAGAAGAAAAAAGGGAGATTTCCCAGTTAGCTCGTAGGTGTCAGGGTTGTGAACCTACTCATGATTTTTAAAAAAAAGGCAAGAAAATGTTTTGCTGATTAAAGAGGTGATATTTCATTGCCTTTTTTAATTACCAATAGTTTAAAAGCTACAAAAATAGACCTTATTTTTCCCTTCATTTCTTTCTATTTACTTGGATTTAGAGCTTCAGTTGTCAAAGTTCTGCTCTGGTGAGAACTTAATTTCACAGGAGCATATTACATTTGTGACTAAACCAACTGAATTCCTTCCTTGTATCCTCACTCCTTCACCAGCTTGTTATTTTTAAACTTTGCTGAAAGAAAGGCAAAATGTGATGTAGCTCCTTAATGATTAAGGCTTTGTGAATTTAAAGCGAAAATCTTTGTGATATTTGAAATTTAATATACGGGACTTAGCTTTTTAATATTTAAATATCATTTAAAGCAGGTTTTTGTGGAATGTATGTAAATAGACTCCCCGGGAGCTGTTAATCCAGACAGTTGCAGTCCTGGGTTATTGTGAGCAGAGGTACAAAATGAAATGATTAATCTCCCTTCTTTCCAGTTGGTAGAGGGAAGTACAGAACACAGGCCTGTGGGATAAATGACTTAGAAAAAGACTGAGTCTGTTTGTAGTGCAGTGCATGGCCAAACAAGTGGTATTTCTCATCTTAATTGACCAAAACTTGAATTTAAAAGCTAAAGTTTGACTGCCTGAGTTGTGGCTGAGCTGCCAGATCTGTTCTCTTCTTATTCAGAGCTCCTGTGCCTGGTTAAATGTTTGTCACTCCAGGCAGGAGGTGGCTGCATCTCAATGATGCTCAAGTGCCCCCTACATAACCTGCTCACCGGCTCATTAAGCTTCCAAAGCCTTTGGGATTTGGCTACACAAACCCTTCCATTCAGGTGGGGTTGTCCAGTCCCTTCTGCTTCCTGTTTGTGTTTAGCAAGACAAAAAGCAGGTGAGAACTTGCCCCAGAGCTGCTGCACTTGTGGATGGCTGGTTTTAGGCAGGTTTCTTACAGGAAAAAAACTTGTGTTCCTGCAGGGATTCTCTCCCTGCCTGTGCACTCTCAGTAGTTTTCAAATCTTCTAGCCAGGTTTTGCCAGTAGGACTGAAATTTTGAAGAAACTGATTTCCTGGGATTTGGGGAGAAATAGGTGATTGCTAGAAAAAAAGAGATTCCACACGTGTCCTAAATCAGAGAGGGGAGCTTTGCCATCCGCTCAACCCTTGGGATCAGAAAAACTGCCTGAAGAAAATCTGCCCCTTTGATACCCTGCCACGGGGAGATCTCTGTGAGACGGATTCATGGGAAGTGGGATTTTGTTCTGGTGTGTATGAAACTGTGTAAGAACAAGGGGGAAAAGACGTTTGGGGGAGTGGTGTTCACTCTGTTCACAGAATCCCTGAGGTTGGAAAAGGCCTCCAGGATCATCGAGTCCAACTTGTGACCCATCCCCACCTTGTCACCCAGCCCAGAGCACTGAGTGCCATGGACACCTCCCGGGATGGGGACCCCACCACCTCCCTGGGCAGCCCCTTTCCAATGTCTGACCACCCTTTCCATGAAGAAATTGCTCCTGATGTCCAACCTGAACCTCCCCTGGCACAGCTTGAGGCCATTTCCCTTTGTTCTGTCCCTTGTTCCCTGGGAGCAGAGCCTGACCACCCCCCCCAGTACCCCCCTCCTGTCAGGGAGTTGCAGAGAGCCAGAAGGTCCCCCCTGAGCCCTCTTTTCTCCAGGCTGAGCCCCCCCAGCTCCTTCAGCAGCTCCTGCTGCTCCAGCCCCTTCCCCAGCTCGATTCCCTTCCCTGGAGACGCTCCAGCCCCTCCATGTCTTTCTTGCAGTGAGGGGCCCAGAGCTGGACACAGGATTTGAGGTGTGTCTTCCCCAGTGCCCAGACAGAGGGGAAGAAGGTCATGCTGGTAAAGGTCAGGACTAACTCCTCATTCTTTTTCAGTACTGCCTGTCAGGACATCCCACCTTGCCATGCAACGTGCTCAAGTTCAAATCCACCACCATCATGCTGGACTGTGGGCTGGACATGACGTCCACCCTCAACTTCCTGCCGTTGCCTCTGGTCCAGAGGTGAGTTCTGTGGCCTGTCAGCACTTAAGTCTGTGTCTTCTTGGGTTGCAGTTGGAGTGCTCTGCCTGAAATGGGGTTTTGGAAGGAGGGAGGAGATGGGTACAAATGAACAGCATCATCTGATATCATAAATAGACTTTGTTCACTTAAAAATTCTCTTTATCAAAATAACGTCCTTTGGCTCGGTAGACGGAAGACATTTTATGGATTTATTGATTGGTTTTTCTAGATAATTTATTCTAAGCTTCAGTAAAGTATTGCTGCAACTGCTCAGCACAAGTGAGGTCACATATCTGTCATCTTTCTGGCTTCTTCATGCAAGATGAGATAAATGGCTAACAGAGATGGAGTGTGTGGAGCCCAGTTCTGTTCAACCACCATCTTCTCAGGCTTTTCTTGGAGCACAGACTAATGCAAAGGAAAATAGCACTTAGCAGTCCTTGTTACTTGCCTCCTTGGCATAATTGTTCCCTTTTAAAAATGAAATAAATAAAAGGGCAGTGCAGCTGGGCACAGGGTTGGAACAGCAGGGAAAAGGAGTCTAGAAGACAATCCTGAGATCAAGACTCCTTCCATGCCCTACTACAAAGTTGTATTTCCCCAGGTTTTTAGATTAATTTGGATATTCAGCTAGGATGACTTATGTCTTGAGTAAATGGAATCAATGGCAAAAATTAACAGCTGAAAAGGGGGGAATGAGTAACTCTTAGTGATGGGAAGCAGTGGGAGTTTTCTCAAAAGCCATTCAGTAACTTTGGTCCACGAGGAAACAAGTGAGGAAACAAGTGAGGAACGTTCTAGGTTCAGAGGAGGCTTGATGGAGGGGGGGAAATATGATTGGGAAAGGGAGTTTCCTAAGTGACCTAATGAGGTTAAAGCAGATTGTCCAGCACTTCCTATGATTTGTTATTTTTCAGAGAGGAGAGGAAAAGAATAGACAATGTCTGCATTGTTCTGCAAGAACGTGGAGTTCAGGATCTGCTGTAGAGAGGCAACAGATGCCTTAAGAGGGATCGGTGTGATAGTTGATTTTTTTTGTCCCATTCCATAATGCAGTTGTTGGCTGCAACATCTATTGCTGGGGCAGAAGCAGAGTTTGAAGGGATCCAGAAAATTTGGGAAATCCAGGTACAGGCAGAATTGCCTTGCATTAGCTTTCACCCACCCACCCCCCCCAAATAAAAAGGAAGTGGAGAGAGGAACAAGTAGCAAAATGAGGTGATTGAACAAAGGCTTAAGAGGTTCTTTGGAAGGGCAGGAATCAGCACTCCCTGGGGATATGCCAGCTCTGTCTGCTGATAGCAGACCCTGGGAATGAACAGCCAAATTGCAGGTCACAACCTGGAATTCCCCAAGTACCTCCAGAATGTCGGCACTAAAATGACTCAAACTCAATAAGAAAGGATGTCAGATTTGACCCCTGATGGCCCAGTGGAATCGGAGCAAACAGTTGGATTTAAATCCAATCAATCTTGTCGGTGAGGTGATTGAACAGCCCTTCCAGCAGGGATTGTCCTGAGCACATGGACTTGGGCGAGTAATTGATCTCTCCAGTGCTCTACAAACCAGGTGTCCTGCAGAGAGTGGGTGGAAATGAGTCAGAAACTTGAGGAGGAATGTGGCTGCCACTGGAAAGCCCTTATCTCTCTGCAGAGCTTGGAGTTTTACCTTCATAGATCAGGTGTCTGTGTCTAAATACCTCCGAAATTCAAATGTGCATTATCAACACGACAGGGGCAGGTGACAGAGGGGTGACACTGCAATCAGTTGCCAGGTGAGAGATGACAGGAGAGACTGGCTGCCTGAGGAATTTTAGCACAGGTCAGTCAGATCTGAGCTGTGTGTCCTCTCAGAACCAGGTGTGCTAATCTGAGACGGACCCCTGTGAAATCTTCATCAGAGAGGAGCCACACTTCTCTCTGCTGCCTCTAATCCAGAGATCCCCAAAGAATGACCCAGGAACTGCTTGGGCTCTGCAAGTGTGAGCCCTAATTTTTACCTCTGTGGAGCACAAAGGAATGATATTACAGAGGATCTTTGCTATGCAGCTCAGTCCTGTGTCACACCTGGCATGGGACCCTCCTTGAGCAAACATTTTGAGAGCCTGTGCTTTAATCTCTGAGAGAGGAAAGTGCTGCAGCGTTTGTGGCATGAAAGGGACTGGGCATTTTTTAGAGTTCTTTGCTCTCCAAAAAAAAAAAAAAGCCCATCCAAAGGGACTTAGATTCCCCCTTGCCCTGGCAGTGGCAGTCCTTGTTCTCTCCAGCCCGTGGAGCACGTGCAGGGCACCTGCAGTTGCCAAACCCTTTGTGCCCTCTCCTGTACTTCAAAGGAGGTTTGTCAACCGGAATTTTCTCCCCTGCGCCAAAGTCAAATGCAAAGCGGTAAAATGAACATGTGGGAAGCTCTTAACCTTTCCTGTCTAGCCATGACACACTTGCTCACATTATTTATGGGACAGTTCCAGCTATTTTGGATTAATCAATCACTCTGTTACAATGTCAAAACTGTGTCGGCAGGAGCTGTGTTGCTTCTTGGCTTCAAGGTAAAGAGTCCTTTCTGTCCTGTGTTGCTCATTCCACTTCCAGCCACACACAAGATTCAAAATCTGCTGATTTTGCCTCCCCTGACAAGGCCTTACCCTCCTCAGTGGATGCCAGTTTAGTACGAGTCAATAGTTGCTCTTTCGCTGTGAATAAAGCAAAACTCACACGAGGCTAAATTACGAGGGCAAGAATATCAGGGAAAGTTTATTCTGCTCTGCCTCGTGCTGGTGATCCCGCAGAAAGATCCAGGGATTTGCAAGGGACAGCTGGACAAAGCCAGACTGACCTGACCTAGTCATTGAGACATTGGACTCCAGACCTCCAGATGACCCTTCCAGCCAAGTTTTCTGTCCTCTCCTCCTGTATCTGTCAAAGCTGTTGCATATCAGAGTGGTTTGTTCCTGCTTTTTCCTTGCTTTTTCCATAACTCTTTTAGTCTCACTGCACCAATTATCCTCAGCCTCCTCAGTCTCCAAATTACTGCTCCTAAATTGTGCTTTTGAACGTGTTGGTGTGGAGTACATTCAACCACTTCATCTTTTCTATCATCAGACTTCTTCAGACTTAATCCTCAAAATGGGACACACTTCTCTGGCACAGCTTTTCCACGACAGATCCTCCTACTCTCCCCTCTTACCTTCTGTCTTCACTGCTTGAGTCTTGGATTTCCTCTTTTTCCTTCCTTGGGACTTTCTGGGGTGTCAGTTAGAATTTGTTCTTTCATATCCACATTAGTCTGAACACAACATTCCTCTGAGCCCTCGAATCACTTCCTATTTTCAAGATGTTTAATTTGAAAGCCCTTGTAGGCTATAAACATGTTTGTCTGTAGAGCTTAGTGCCCAGCACTTCCAGATTTCATTGCAACCAGGTTCCAGATCTGAGGTTGTTGCAGGGCTTGTTTCCAGGTGGGTTCAGTTCTCTTGTTACCTCCACTTTTTTTGGATTTCTGTAGATGTGCTTGAGTCTGGGCACACAGTGGTTTTAGAGCTAAGTTGGAGGCTCCCACAAAAATCAAATGTTATGGTGAAGTGTGGAGTAAGTCTCTCAGTTAAGGCAGCAAGAAATGCTGCAGCAAGTACTGCTGTAAACTCAGGCTTACAATGTCCACCTTGAAATTTCTTTATTAGCATTTGAAACTATTGAAAAAAGGGTCTCTGCTGTTGCTTAGAACATGCACTTCCCAGCCAAGCCTCCTTGCCCCTTTGTCCTTCAGCAGAGGTGAATGCTCTGTGCAGCTGTTGGTGTGGCTGCTCAGGGTGAGAACTAAGCAGGAAACCATGTTTTATGTGATCTAAAATCCCAACCTGTGTCTACAAACACTTCGTCCAGAGCATCAGTCTTTCCCCTGCCATGGCTGATGGGAATGTTTGTCTGTTGTCCTCTGTCCCAGAGCACTTTTATGGTGCTTTTGTGTTGTTTCAAGCCCAGAGTTTGTTGCTGCCCCAACTTCTGTTTATTCATCCAGTTTTACCACAGGGCAACTGAGCAGCACTGAGCCCTTTTTGAAATTCTCCTCATAAATGACTACAAACTCCCTGCAGGCCCCGTCCTCTTATTCTTTTTACTTAGAAGTGTCATAATCATGATTTGTAAAAGTCATTTTGGTGAACACTTACCCACAGTGAAACTGTCTGTCTGGTTTACTGAGGCTGTTACTTCCCTGAGACAGGAATGCTGTTCTCTGCCTGTGTGACACCAAACAGAAGGTCTGTGCTTGGCCACTGATCATGAGCCAGTTCATATTCCAATAATTTCTCTTCTTTTTTTTTTTTTCCACAGCCCCAGGCTTTCCAAACTTCCTGGTTGGGTTTTGAAAGATGGAAGCACTTTTCTGGACAAGGTACTGTACTTCTGGAATTTTCTTGCCGTGCCAAAAGCTCCCTGACAGGTTAGGAGCAGGGACAATGTTCCACACTGACTCATCCCAACGGTTTCTGTGTGTACCTTTACCAGCCAGAGTGTCCTTCTAGAGCAGAAGGGTTTGAAACAAAATGCTAATAGCAACTCCAGGCTCTCAGTCTTCAGAGGTAGCCTAGATTATAAAAAATCCTCTTTAAAATGCAGAAGTCATCGGTATGAATATTTTTGTATTTCATGGAGCTCCATAAATAATAGTGCCTTGCCTTCTTAGAGTGCCTTTTATTCCCCAGTCTCACTTTTCTGACACTGAAGCTTCAGAGTTTGCTTATAAATGAGGTTGGTACTGTACCTTTTTTGAGGCAGGAGGACTCTGAGAGAGTGAATGGTTTGCCTATGGGAGGTCCCTCAGAGAGGAAAAGCTTGTCTTTGGCCTCTGAAGTCAACATGTGTTCTGCTGCTGGACATAGCAGGGAGGATTTTATCTCCAGCCTCCTAATTCTAAGACACAGAACTTCCTCAGCTACATGAGAGCCACAGAATTTCTCTTTTTTTCCCCTCTTCTTTTCATTACATCAGTTTTGTAGGCAGAATTTATCTGGGGCTTCAACCAAAACTTGGCACTGCAGCCTCCAGCTTGATCTGCCACGGGGGAACAATGAACAGAAAAATATGTCAGAAGTTAGTAAAATAGGCAGGTACATTTCAGATGTGGGCAGCAATAGGTACCAGTGGAGAAAATAGTGTTTTAATAGACTGTTCTCTGACTATGTGAACATTAAAGGAAACACTGATAATAGTTGGTTATGTAGGGGACTTTGAGGTGGACAAAATGGATTGATCTGATTTTTACAGGCAAGGGAGCTGAAGATCACAGATTAAAGACCTGATTTTTCTTCTCATTGGAGACAAAAGGAACTGTACAGGCAGCATTTGTGTTGGTAAAATAGTAACAGCTCTATTCAGAGCACTTGTTCTCTGGCAGTCACAGGCTGCAAAGGCTCAGGGACAAGGAAGGAGTTGCTCAGTTTGAATTCCCTGGAATATGTTTCTCCTGAACCCCAGCCTGGGTCTCAGAGCTCCCAAAGAACGGACTCACTGTCAGTATAGTTTTATATGGGATGTATTTCCATTTCTGGGGTGCTGCTGCTGGGTTATGTGCTCGAGAGAAACCTCCAAACTCACCCAGTGCCAATGGAAATCATGTGTTAGAAATTCAAATGCAGCATCTCTTCCCTTCACCTTGACCGCTGTGACTGCCTGGAATGGGAAATTCCGTGACCCCTGCTGGAAAAAGGCAAGGGAAGGAGTCAAAGGGGGGTGTTTCATCATGTGGGGTGGACATTCCTGTCCCAGTGACAGTTATAAAACTTCAGTCCTGGAGAGGCACTGAAATGTGCTGAGATCTCCTTTTAATCATTTTGAACTCCCTGGAGATGAGGGTGGGAGACTTCTGCCACGAGCTGTAATTGCTCATTCGTTAGCAGTTGGCAGGTGCACTGTAATTATTAACAATTGGATTCAATCTTTAATTCTGTCAGTCTGACTCTGGCTGAGACCCCTCGCTGTGGGACAAGGGAAGCATCCAGGAGAGGAGAGTGGGTGGGTTAGGAGTGGAGTTGGGAATATTTTTGTTCCACACATAGCCCTGACTTTTTATGCGACAAAGATTTTTGATGTCAGCCTTGGAAAAAGAGGAAGAAAATAGAGGACTAGAGATCCAGTGGAGCTAAATCTAATAAAAAGTTCCATGTGGAGCACAGACCCCCAAAAGTTGCTTCATCAAATACTCTGAGAAAGGGGCTAAAAATTGCATTCTGGTCCTAATAAGACAGAAGAGGTTGGATGTTGTTTGGAACCAAAACTAAATTGCAAACTTGCCCTCCAAACCACCCACCAGTGATTCCCAGGGCTCCTTCCTGACCTACCAAAGTGCTCCTTCTGTCCTCCCAACAAGGATCTCATCCCTTCAGACACCAAGCAGCCTCATCTGGCATTGAAAGCAATTTCAGCAGATCTGCCTTGCACCAAATTGTGTCTAGAAGGGGCATAAACATGATGTAATAACAGGCTGGAAACTACCTGTTTGGAAAGTGCAAAATGTGCTGCACTGGAGTAACGTTGGCTTGTATTTTTGTGTCTTCTCTGTTGGTGTGGTTTTTACAGGAGCTCAAGGAGTGCTCTGGCCACGTGTTTGTGGACTCGGTGCCTGAGTTCTGCTTGCCAGAGGTGAGTTTATTTTGCTGAAAATCTGGCTCTGTTCAATCATGTGGGAGAAAATGGCTAAATTATTATTATTACCAGATTATTGCTATTTAATTGCTGCTCAGTAAATAACACTGCTAAAACTGGGAAAAGGATGGAAACAGCCCTTTTCAACAGAGGTTTTGGGAGGTGTGGAAGGTTTCCTTGAGCAGATCTGTATCTCACACAAGAATAAGACTTAACTGTCCCTTTTTATGGGCCTTCCAAAGACAATCTGACTGAGCTGGGCTGGAATATGACAGGATACATGTGCTGATCCAGATAAGGGCAGGGAATGAAGACAAGGAATGCTGTTTGTCTCTAACCATGGATTCAGGACCTGCCCAGTGGAGCTCCCTGGGGAGCTGAATGTGTGGTTAAGCCAGGTTTGGATTCTTCTGGGCTGCCAGCAGCACATTTAGGTTAAAAACTTTAGCTGCCTTCTTTGCTGCCCATCTCTGCCTGTTTGAGGGAAGAACTCTGCCTTCAAATCCACTGACATGGCTGCAAGTGGCTGCTTCTCAAGCTGGTTTTTACAAGAATTCATGGATTTAAAAGAAAAAAAAGAAAGCAAGACTGTTGAAGATGTTTGGGTTGCCCGAGGTCACCTGACTGATCAGGGTAATGCTCTATGTAGGAGTCAAAAGCTGAGCAGAGAGAGATGGAGGTGAATGATGGGGAATGGTCTGGGAATAGTATCCTCTTCCCTCAGTGTGTTCAGACTGATAACATCAGTTCTTTCATTTCATGTTGGGATGTTTTCTCTGTCATTCAGAGACGTACAATTGCTTTTGGGCAGCGATTTTTTTTTCCCCTTCTGCCTGACCTTGTTGGCAGGAGGCACAAAACACTCCTGGAAGGCTGTTGTCAGCTTGCTGGGGCTCTGGCAATACTGTTTCTGTCTGTGGATCCCAGGAAACTCACCTCTGGCAGCTCCTGACTCCTGTCACCTCCATTCTTCCAAGCAAGTTTGCACCTCTGGTACTGGCTTTGGCAAGTGATTCCAACAGATCATAACCATTCCATCCCATCTGGAATGGTTATAATCCAATCACACTGAAAAAAAACCCAACCCAAAACCCTAATAGTACAGGGTGCTTGTGATCTCTTGGGTTACTGTGCTATGGAAGGAATATGGAAGCATCTGTATGTGTAGAAGATGCCATTGTGGCTCAGATCTGGGGAAAGATAGAGTTTTATGTGCTGGATTCCCTTTGGAATTGAGACCATGTGCAGGAAGGATAATCTGCTGGGGTTTAGGATGCTTCAGCCAGGCTTTCTGGTTACTTTGTTGGGCTGGAAAACACCCACATGTGCAGCTCTAAATGGGACAGATGGGGAATCTCTGCCTCATTTTACCCATGTTACCACTGCGTGGAGCTGCTTCCCGGCAGTCCATGTTACAACAACCAGCTGCACTTGTCACCACTGCAGGGACTTTAAAATTGGCCTCCCAGATGTTTTCTAAAGTTCCCAACAGATGCCAAGTCTCTGAGCACCAGGAAGAGATGTGCTGGTGATACCCAGCTCGCACCTCGAGCTCACCTGCCTGCAGGAGTTTCGGGTGTCATGGCCAGCTGAAAGCATCAGCCCGGTGGGAACGTTGCTGGTGTTTGGCAGCACAGGATAAGAAGGAGCTCGTGTGAAAGAGGCTTTGTCTTTCCCTTTGTCTCCTTCCACGCCACTTCTTTTGAAGAAACTTGTCTGCAAAAGCAGTTAGTGGGAGAATCAGGGTATCGCTTCCAGGAACACCATTGCCAAAGCAAGCCAAGATTTGGATCTAATCCAGCAGCCACAAGGTGCTAAAGGCTGTCTGGGCAGCAGAGTACACTCACACATGTCAGAGTGCAGGGTGCAGCCCTCTCTTTGCTTGGCAACCTTCTGCTCTCTCACTTCACATTTCAAGAAACATTTTGAAACCTCTTTAGTTCAAAGGCACTTTGGTGAGATCGCCGCAAGTCCCAGGGAAGATTTGACTTTGTTTTGGTTTTGACACCCTTTTCATCCTTTCAGTAAATGCTTCTGAGATGTGGGATGCTGAAGGCTGGAAATTGGTGGCGTGTATCCTCCCGAGGGCTCACCTGGGCTGGGGTTCAGCTCAGGGCTGGAGCATCTCTGAGAGATGGGCTGGGAGAGCTGGGGGGGCTCAGCCTGGAGAAGAGAAGGATCCAGGGAGACCTCAGAACCCCTCTCCCAGTGCCTAAAGGGGCTCCAGGAGAGCTGGAGAGGGATTTGGGACAAGGGATGGAGGGACAGGACAAGGGGAATGGCTTCCCACTGCCAGAGGGCAGGGAGAGATGGGATAATGGGAAAAAATTGTTTCCTGTGAGGGTGGTGAGGCCCTGGCACAGGTTGGCCAGAGAAGCTGTGGCTGCCCCATCCCTGCAAGTGTCCAAGGCCAGGTTGGATGGGGCTTGGAGCAACCTGGGATAGCAGAAGATGTTCCTGCCCATGACAGGGTGTGGAATGAGATGAGTTTTAAGGTCCCTTCCCACTCAAACCACTCTAGAATTTGATTCTGGACAAGCTGAAAACCAGTTCATGAAGGAACCAGGCCTTGGCAGGAGGAGGCGTCAGCGGATCCATTGATACCACACAGTGAGTGTGTCCCTGCCTGGAAGCTCAGTGAGATAAAAGGTGCCCTGTCAGGGATCCCAGGATGGTGTTTCACCTCCTGTTCCCAGCTTGGAGATCGTGGCTCCAACATTAGCTGTGATCATGGACTGAAACCATGAGTGCTCAGAGAGGAGTTAAGCAGCTTGTCACCAGAGCACTGTGTCAGCCCTCTGAAAAGCAGAGTGACCTACTTTCCTGCCTTTTTTATTCAAATTGCTGGACCAAGCCTTGTAATCAGATAATATGTGCTTGATGAGTGTTGAATTCCATTAGCTGCTCTATAATAACTGAGTTAGAGGTCATACATCTTGTAAATTCCTGACTTGACACCGTTTGTGTTATAGCATTACCAGTAAATATTTCTAATTAAAATTCTTTTAACAATGTGTGAAATCTTCTGTTGCTCTCAGAACTCTTGTCTAAACTGTCACATCAAAACAAATTGGACCCACCCAACTGTTTTGTTGTAGCCTATGAATGAGCTTCATCTCCTGCTGTAGAAAATGTGAATGATAAAGATGCCAAGAGTTTACTTGGGGAAAATAGAATTATTTTAAGTGTAGGAATAAATACAGTCTTCATTCATCTCTCTCACTCTCCTGGGGTACAGTAGGATGTGCTGCATAAAAAAAATATGAGGCACCCTGCGAAATCAGTGCTGCAGAAGTTTTGGTGTCTGTTCCTCCCTGAGGAAGTGCACATATGAGTTCTTTGATAAAAGTGTGATCACCGTGGATCTCGTAACAGCAGCCACTTCCATGTATGAAACACAGACAAACCCAGGACATGGTTTCCTTTTAGGGGGCTTTTAAATAAATCTCGTTAATTTGAAGGAAATAGTAATCTTTGCCACAGCTGAGGTGTGGCACGAGACAGACTTTTTTTTATATAAACTGGTTACATTCCTGCACTATAAATTAATAAAAACCACCCAAAACAGAATAAGAAGTTTTTCTGCCGTTGCTTAAACTGCATGAAAGGGTTACATGTTGCTTATCTCTCTGCTCTCCTTTCAGACTGAACTGCTTGACCTCTCCACAGTGGATGTGATCTTGATCTCCAACTATCACTGCATGATGGCACTGCCCTACATCACAGAGTACACAGGGTTCACTGGCACAGTCTATGCCACCGAGCCCACTGTTCAAATTGGCAGGTAAAGAAGCCCCTTAATGTTCTCCACTCCTCTTTCATCACTGCTCAGGAGAAGGTGTAAAGGACAACATGGGGAGAGCAGGGGTGTCTCATGTTCCCAAGAGGCTCTTAGGCAGGAGCTGAACACCAGCCAAGTCCTTAGTGCTGCAAATGTGTTAACTCAATGCTTCCCAACCTCTGGAACCATCTTCAACACTTGCAGCAGGTGCTTGGTGTTGAATCCAGGCAGTTGATGTGGGACAGTAGATCTGGAGTGGGCTGAGACACCTGGAGCAGCAATTGCCATATAGCCAACTTTGAACCCCATGGATTAGGGATTTCTCCTGCTCCTCTCTGATCCCCTTAAACAAAAGGAGTCTTTTCAGTAGGAAAACTGGAAAAGGTTGCCCAGAGAAGCTGTGGCTGCCCCATCCCTGGAAGTGTCCAAGGCCAGACTGGATGGGGCTTGGAGCAACCTGGGACAGTGGGAGGTGTCCCTGCCCCTGGCAGGGGTGGAACAAGGTGATGTTGAACCCAAACCATTTAGGATTCCTGACATGCACTGCTGCCACATTTGATAAGGTAACTGGAGCTTTTCCTCATCCCCCTCAAATTCAATGAGCACTTGGGGATCCCGTTTATTCTGCTGTTCCAAAGCTTCATCCCAACCTTCTCACTACCCAGCTCCACTTCTTTATAACTTACTAAGTTACATCCCAGTCACCAGTTCAGAATCCTTTTATAAACCCCTCAAACAACTTTTAAGAAGAAGAAGTGAAACTCCTCTCCCGAGCAGACAAGAGTGGAGAAAATGCAGCATGAGATTTTCATCTCAGTGGCTGCCCCATCCCTGGAAGTGTCCAAGGCCAGACTGGATGGGGCTTGGAGCAACCTGGGCTAGTGGAAGGCGTCCCTGCCCATGGCAGGGGGTTGGAACTCATGAGCTTTAAGGTCCCTTCCAAGCCAAACCATTGTAGGATTCTATGATTCCATATAACCACACTTTCCTCCACTCCATGGAAGGGAATTTAAGCAGACTTCACCTCAAATGACAGTTGAGATACATAAGCTCTGAATCCAGAGAGAAGCACTGAGGAAAACAGCAGCAACAGGAGACTGAAATAGAACATCTAAGACCTGATATTGTGGTCAAACCCATAATAGTCACCAAACTTGCCAGTGTATCCTTACAAAATTGTCTTGTTGATTGAATAGGTCAACACCAAACCCTGCAGGTTTGTCCCTTGATGAGGCCTGACTGGCCTTGTGGTCTCTGCCTCCCTCATGCAGAGCAGCTGCCATGTTCAGTAATTAGAACCCACTTTAGACCCTGGTATCTGGACTACTCTGTAAGCACTTCAGAGCAGGAATCTTTGGCTGTTAATGGTCCTGTGCAAACTTCCCATGCCAGAGTAATTCCCCCATTGTGTGAAAACAAACAGAACCTAAGGCCCTTGTAGGTGAAAGGAACTGTGTGAATATGAACTAGAAATAGAGCTCTGGGGTTGGTCCAGAGTTGAAGATAACAGTCTTGTGGGAGAATGTACTGGTGTGGTTCTCCCCATCCCAAGTAATTCCAGATGCCATTCTGCAGGTAAATCTGTGTCTTCCTCCCTTCAAGCCTGCACACAGCTACAGTTGCAGTGAAATCTGCAGGGAGAATTTCTAATGCCTGACATATTTCTCTGTCTCAAATGTGCACTGGTAGAGGAGGAGAGTTCCCTCTGACGCTGTGCTTGGCTTCTCCAGGTGATAAAGGGGCACCAGCTATTGAGCTTTCCTTGTGTATTTTGTCTCATTCCATATGACAGGTTGTGTCAGTAATGAAGGAATTATCTGGCACTTTCCAAATAACCCATAACCCGGCGGGCCAGATCCTGTGCTGTCACAGCCAGGCAGGTGGAATTGGGAATGCTCTGTGGAGAAAGAGGGATAGTGTTGGTTGTTGGGTAATTGCTGTGATGCCTCTGTGGGAAGATCCCTCTTTAAAACTGCCTGACAGTGTTAACAGCTTGTGGGGTATTTTGGGAAGATTTGGGAGAAAGCTCTCGACTCTCTCCTGTGTGAGAGGCTGCAGTACTAATTTAGTCCTGATCACCTTTTCAGACTCCTCATGGAAGAACTGGTGAATTCCATTGAACGCGTGCCAAAGGCTCAGTCTGCCTCCATGTGGAAGAACAAGGAGGTGCAGAGGTAAGGAACAAGTCACCGGGAAAGGTGGCTGTCCTAAAACACTAACCAGAGTTTAGGATTCACTGGAATGATGGGTCAGCTCCCACCCTTTGAGATTTCCAAGAAAAAGGTTCACTTGGGTCGGTTCTTTCTCTAAATTCATTCACACGTTGTTGGGCTTCCAACCTCACAAGCTTGATTTAGTTTAGCTCCATGGTGGTGGATAAAACCAGCACATTTTTGTATTAACATCATAAAAAATTGTTGAAATTAGCAGGCTATTTAAACTTAATTATATTGTATTGGAATAATTTAAATTTAAAATGACATTAACGTTCATGTTCGCTGAAATACTAAGAAAGTCAGGACACAGCTGTTGGAGGTAACAGAGCAGTTTCTTACCATCTTCTTTAACACCTGAACAGCAGAAGTGAGATTTTTGGCTCTCCAAAGCTTCAGACCAAACCAAAACCTGAATAAAAAAGGTTATTTGGAAACACCATGTCCATTATTCCAGCTGTTCATCAAAACAAGGTGCTCAAAATTGAGGGCTTCTACATCTAACATTTTGAAAGCCTGTGGAATCTAAAAATTATCCATACAGTTTACTAATTGCAGATAATGCTTTCCTTGGAAATAAAACCAATTTTAGGTGCACAACATGTTCTTTGGAGGAGAGACTTTCGTTTTTAGCACATTTTAAAGATAGGGTTGGTTGATTAGAAAGTTATTTTTAAAGGCTGCTTTGTGCATTTTTAATTGATCTCCCATTTTCTACCACTAATTCTTAAGGTGGCTTGATTGAAAAGTTCCCTAAAAATGAATTGTTTCGTATGTTGTAAAAGTCATCTCGGTATTTTCCAGTACCACAAAGCAAAGAAATTAAGAATCCCAATTGCCATGGTTTTAGCTGTATATTGTGTTCCCCTGCTGAGCTTAGGAGCAGCCTTTGCACTGTGACTCTCACTCTTCTGAAGATGGCAAGTAAAACTCGGATGTAAAGCAAAGTAAAGTTTATCAGGATTCTCAGAATAGTGGTGGGTTTTTTTTATAATTTTGGAGTTTTGCTGGCCTGAGCAGGCCCTCTCCTGCAGCTCCCAGTGTGTGAAGAGGGAGTTCTGGAGCCCTTATTCCCATCACACCCCCCACACAGCTCCCGGTGTGTGGAGAGGGAGTTCTGGAGCCGTTATTCCCATCACACCGAGAGGGATTCTGGAGCTGTTATTCCCATCACACCAAGAGGGAGTTCTGGAGCCCTTATTCCCATTACACCCCCCACAGCTCCCAGTGTGTGGAGAGGGATTCTGGAGCTGTTATTCCCATCACACCCCCACACAGCTCCCGGTGTGTGGAGAGGGGGTTCTGGAGCCATTATTCCCATCACACCCCCCACAGCTCCCGGTGTGTGGAGAGGGAGTTCTGGAGCCATTATTCCCATCACACTGAGAGGGATTCTGGAGCTGTTATTCCCATCACACCAAGAGGGAGTTCTGGAGCCCTTATTCCCATCACACCCCCACACAGCTCCCGGTGTGTGGAGAGGGAGTTCTGGAGCTGTTATTCCCATCACACCCCCACACAGCTCCTGGTGTGTGGAGAGGGATTCTGGAGCCCTTATTCCCATCACACCCCCCACAGCTCCCAGTGTGTGGAGAGGGAGTTCTGGAGCCGTTATTCCCATCACACCCCCCACAGCTCCCAGTGTGTGGAGAGGGAGTTCTGGAGCTGTTTTTCCCATCACACCCCCCACAGCTCCCAGTGTGTGGAGAGGGAGTTCTGGAGCCGTT